TTATGTATACTAGCTTCAAATCGTTGCAAATATGCATAAGCAGTGGCAGCTGTTGCTGCTGTTGCTGCTGCTGATTCTTGACGAACGCAGGCAGGTGGCAACTGCAGCAACTCCGTGACTAGGTCGCCAATGTTTTGCTGTTGTCCGTCTGGCGGTGTCGTCGTAGTTTTATGATGCCAGCTCACAGTCCAAGCGATAAGCGCTCAGCAAGCTAAACACTACATATAAAACGAGGCAACAGCTACAACAACAACAGCAGCAACAGCAACAACAACGGGAGATGGTTACCAAAACACAGCATGGGAAACGCAACATTTGCGTAAAATTTGCTTTTGCTGTTGTTGCTCATCAGACATCAGAGGTGACTCGCTGTGACCATAAAAGCGATTCTCGTTTTTATTTTGTTCGCTTTTGTTGTTGTTATTTTATTTTTATTGCAAAAGGCAACAGAAATAAACCCCACACTTAGATAAAAATCACAAAAGCAATATGTGGCTAGATAAAAAAAATGGCCACACAGACCGCGACCGACCGACCAAAATGCGACAGAAGGTCAAATAAATGCTGCGAATTATTTGTTGATTTTATTATTGTTGCTGTTGCTGTTGTTGTTGTTGTTGTTGCTTTGGCTGTTGCCATTAGTGAAGATCGCTGTTCGGTCGTTCGAGGCGCTCTGCTGGCTCTCACGGAACTCTATGCCCCATCTGTGCGAGATCTGTGAGACCAGCTTGGGTCGTTCCTCAATAGATAGATAGCTCTATGTGTAGATAAAAGGCAAGAAGACATAAAAAAGAGCTACACCCGCTGCGAAATTTCATAGCAACGCAACGATCTCAACTCGACTCGACCTTGTACTCGCATACTCATTTGTGTCTTTTCTATTCTCTGGCCCTGGCCTTGGCCAGAGACCACCCAATGCAAATATGCTTGGAAGGCTACACTGCAGGCGGTCGCAGCAGCAGACATCTATTGATCGAGCCAATTGCAGTCATCTCTGCAGACGTTGAGCTATGAAAGTGTCTATAAGTATTTCAAGTCTAACAATGCAGGTATATTAACAGTTAGCTCTGTGAAACAACGACTACAGTGATCTCTGCAAAGTTGGAGTCTTCTATAGGAATATCAAGTCTATTAATGCATAGATAGATTGAACTGATATTTCTAGATGTTAAGCTATGATGTTTTCGAAAATACCTTTAGTCTATTTAAACATAGATCAACAGAGAGCTTGAGCTATGAAAACGCTTATAGGTATTACAAGTCGATGAATGTAAAAATCGATCATTGAACTGATCTCTCTATGATCTCTTCTATTAATGCAGATATATATAATAGCAGTGATCTCTGCAGATGTTGAGTTATACAGTCTTCTATAAGTATTTCAAGTCTCTTAATGCATAGATCGACCATTGCATTGATCACTAAAGAGGTTAGGATGAGAAGACATCTATGAGTATTTCAAGTCTATGTACGCATTGATCGTCAGTGTACTGATCTCTGTAGAGGTTAATGTATGATCTCTTCTCTTTACACATATATACGAAAGTTAACTGCCTAATAGATCGCTTGGCTATAATGACTTTTAAGTACTACCGATTAAAATAGGCATTTCAGTCTATTAATGCACTTATTATAGAATCAAGTGTAATGATTCACACTTGCTGGCGAATCTCTCACTCCATATACATACAAGCCACTTGGAGTATCGTAACGGCAATTAGAATCCACTGAGCCATAGATGACTAATAATTATATTGCGAGCGAGCAAACAGTTCGGTTCGGTTCGGTAAGGAGTTGCAGTTCCATGTTTCAAGTCGAACATCTGCAAATATGTGGGCATCGGGCCACAATGAAGCATGAGAAAAACGCCCCATTGTGCGGCAAACGGACCAACAATTACAACAACAACAACAACAATAGGAACTGATACAAGGCACAGCCATTGAGCATAGGCTGAAGTTGCGTGTGGAGAGTTTTGTGCCAAAGCTGTTGCCCGTTGGCTTTAATGTTGCATTTTCAAATGCTGGTTGGTCGCTGGCGTTGCACACACACACACACACACACGCACACACATACAGTTAAAGTTGTCAAACTGGTTTGCATGATAACTCTCCGTTTGGATGGCTGACTGGCGACCAGGTCGCGCTTTTGCTTTAGCTGATATGAAAAGCACGAGGGTCGCGGTTTCTTTATGCAGAGCGAGAGGGAAATGGAGATGGAGATGGAGAGTGGGAGAGCGAGACATCGGGGAACGGGGCATAAGGCACACACGCACTTTTCAATCTCCAAATCAAAATGGCTGCCCTCGCTCGCTCCTTCAAGAGGCACGCTCTCTCTCTCTCTCTCTCAGTGGTAATTACTAGCCAAGAGCCACTGATAAGCGGCTAGCCCGATGGGCCAACGAAATGCCGTTGTCTGCGATGCGGTTTTTAAAAATGTATAAATCATTGCCAACAAGCGAATACACAGCATGAGACAAGTCTATAAATAAGCCGGGACATGCCGGAACGTCGAGTCAGCAGCGGGCGTGAAAATAACATCAACATCATGAAATGAAAATGAAAATGGAAATCAAAATCAAACTGAAAATGAAAATGAGAAAGCCTAAGGAAAATTCTATATGAACGGCGAACATTTTGTCAACACAGCCGCGTGGGCGTCTGCAGCTGACAATTTCATATTTATAGCCAGGCGCAGAAGCAGCACATTTTCAATTTCCAAGTAGTGTCCAATGCGGAAACCCCCACAAAAGCCCCAAGCACGCGCACACACATGCACACGCACTTTAAAAATAAAATAGAAAATAGAAAATTGCGTGTCATATTCGCCCCTGGACTGTCGCAGGTTCTTTCTTTGGCTTCTAATCAGTTTCACATGGGCCGCTCATAAATTTCGCAAGCAGCACGGCGACTAAATAAAATCACTACTGTTTAGATACTGCTCTTGAAGCGCTTTTATGATGGCCCCCCAATAAATGCAATTATACAACCAGCAGCGACTGCTGACAGCCCGTGGCCACCAATGAGGGTTCGGTGTGGGGTTCTCGAGGTTTTCGAATTCGATTTCGGGTTCTGTGTTCTGTGTTTTGTGTTCTTCCGGTGACGTTGCCATAGATTGTCTCGCTAAAAGATACTACACAGTTGCAAGATCGGCGCTGCTGACGTTTCGTTGGCCAGCCATAAATTCTATGGCATTTTCAAATCAAATTCATTTATTTCATCAACCTGGCCACGTGCTATCAGCCACAATCGGGCCATAAAACGCCAAAGTAAAACCCAAAATACATACACACACACATTGATTGTATGTATGTATATATACTTAGAATTATGATTCAATCAGAACTGCTTTTAATTTCTCACATGATAAATTTATAGAAATTTGAGCCACTAAAAACCGAAATAAAAATCGAAACGCAATCCACAAAAGAGCTCAAGTCTATAAAACCGCCGTTGTGTGAGTGTGTGTGTGTGTGTGTGCTGTGCGGAGCGGAGAGCGTTTGTTTTTCTTTTTGCTACGTTTTTATTATGCCAATAGCTAGGAGCTGCTCGTCCAAGTCCGCCCGCGTTTATAGCCCGGGCATTGTGTTGGCCATAAACCTGTGCGCGCTACAGAGAGGACGAGGTGCAAGTGTATAGAGTGTGTGTAGGGTAGTGTAGTGTGTGTGTAGTGAAGTCTTGAGCACTTGAGTAATGGCCATAAAGCGCGCCCAGCAAACGGCCATAAAGCAATTTATGCACCCTGCCATGTCGACTTTTGGAATCAGCGCGCACAGTAGCCAAACAGCCAAACAGCCAACCAGCCGGACAACGGGCGATCGCCAGCGCAAAGCCCCCGTCAAACCCCAAAGCACTTGAGAAACTGCAGTGATAACAACAATCGCAGTCCCAGTCGCAGTCGCAGACGCAGACGCAACGTCAGCGCCGGCAAAGGTAGCTCATGAGTTGAAAATGAAACTGAAACTGTAACTGCAAATGGAACTAGTTCATTGTGCACGTTTCTCTTATTAGTTTATCTAAGCTAATGGCTTTTTTCACTCCCTCTCCATCTCGCACTCTCTTTCTCTCTGTGTGTGTGTGTCTCTGTGGCGCCTAAATTACTGCACGTCGCTACACTAATTTTCATTATTACTTTTGTATTTCGCTGCGTGCCACGGCGCCGGACTCCGACTCTAGCCCTCTGCGCCGCACAACCGCATGCGGGCTCTGCCTCCGCCTCTATCATAAACAAACGCAAGACAAACGAATTAGCCCAGCAGCAGCAGCAACAACAACAACAACAACAACAACAGCAACTATAACAACAAACATGCGCAACATTTGCCGAGAGAAGCTGTCGAAATGTTATCGAGTTTTTTATCTCTCTAGAACACAAAATTAAATACCAAAAGTAAATTTAACTTCTCAACAGGTAACAATTTGAAATGCCCTTGCTGTGTGTGTGTGCGTGCATATGTGCGTGTGTGTGTGTGGCTATGTAATTTAAAAGAAATTGAAGATTTTTATAGAACTGGTTTTTCGACTAGCTATAAATAATTACCAATTACTAATTATTATTAATAATCATACTGCAA